CTTTGTTATCATCATACACTACTTCTATGTACAGGCAGCTGCAACTGTAAGGGATGAGAATTACATGTGCAATCTTTCATGTTTTTCTTTAAGAGCACCAAACAATTTTCAGACGTGCTTCCTATGCAAACGAAGTTTATGAGATCACTTGCAGAGTATTTGCTCGAAGCTCTCCTTCAGCACCTTAAAATCTATAGACCAGTTTCTACTGGAACTGAACTCAAGTACATTGAGGTTCTCAAATTTTGTGAGAACACAGCCAGATAGAGAACAGAGACTCTATTAATACTCCCAGTAAATTAATGCAGCTTACCATGGAGCAGAAAAGAAGGGGGAGAAAAAAAAAAACCCACAACAAAAACCCATGCTACAAAAAGCTGTAAGAAATACTTTAACAGAATTTAATGCCAAAAAAACTCAACCTGGCTTTACAATAGATAGAGTCCTGGTTTTTAATAAGTTTTAAGTGTCAGACAGTTATGGCATTCATAATAATCTGCTCGGAGTCTGCTGTCGCAAGACTAAATTCATGTATGTCGAAATCACAGCATCTAACTAAAAAGTATAGTGCAGCAAGATATAAACTCATTGAAAACTATCCACAACTCCTGCTCTTCATTAAGCATTTTGTTAAAATGTAACTGCCTTTGTTATTCTGTAGTTCTCTGCATATAAGGCAATTTACTACACCAACACATCAGCCTAAGTAAGCCACCATTCAATTTAGCTTCCCACCACCTCAAAATAGGCACCTAAATTAATATATTTTTAGAAATGTACACACTTTTGATGACATTTTCTGTCCTTGGACTGATTTTTAAAAAAATTAAAATTCAGACAATTAAGAAATCCAGTATTAAAGACATGAGCATTTCTAATTATGCTAACTAGTTTATTTTCCTGGAAGTCTGTAATTAGTGTTTTGCTAGCTCTCAGAGACATTCTTCATTCAACTTGTGTTGTAAGATGCAGGTCAAAGCACTGCACAAGCACTTGAGCAGTCTGAAGAGGCTGCACAGCTTCTGACCTCTAGGAAGGAGGTGGCTCTGAAAAAAAAATTGTTTGCAAAGACACCTGAAGTAAGTGTGACATTCCAAGTTGTTTCAGTCTTACCCCATATCTTTTCTTCTTTAAAACCATGTCTTGTTAAAATGAAATATAAAGCCTGTAATCTGTACGACCTCAAGATCCCTCCCAAAAAACTTAAAGAGACTGCTTCACAGATGTACTAGAACACAGAACTCCTATTGCAATCTGGCGCCTTGAAATCTTTCAGAATCCGGGACATAGTCCAAAAAAAAAAAAAAGGCTGGAAAAGAGGTATTATCACTCTCACAGCAGAGGTTCCAAGGTGGTAGAAAAAGCAGAGCATGAGTAATAAAAGGTGCTTCATTCTTCAATCAGTTAAATTAGAGTATATTAAGATGCATCAGACACAAGCAGAAGACTATAAAAAGGCCCAATCTGAATGCAGTAACAATAACCTGGTAAGACTTCCATAATACCTTTTTCTCAGCATCCAAAAGCATAGATACAAAGGAAAAAAAACTTCATTTTCTTTCAAACTCTACTTCTCACAGACAATAGAGCCTCATATTTTAGTTCAATCCTGTTAAGTGTCTGGCTTGTGGTTTTTGTTTTTTTTTTCCCCTTCCTTCCAGAATGCAGACTTACACTTACATCTCATCCACCAAGATCTGTATATGCAAGTGGGCTGATAGCAGTTTAAGAGTATTAAAAAAAAAATAAATAGAAAAATAGAACAAGTTGGATTATATGCATTATCTTCTGTGGGGAAGGAAAACAAACAGAAAATACAAGGTACGAGATAAAGCACATCTATCATGGAAACAACAAAAAAGAACTATGGAAGAGAAAGTAAGAGAAAGTAGGATTTAAAAAAAAAAAAACACATTAAAGCATAAGGCAACAGATTCCATTATCTACTATATGGAAGAAAAGATTGATACGAAGGAAATGTGAAATGTTCAGTTAAAACTTAAAATATTTTACACCACCTTTTTCAGGAAATTAGTCTTATACAGGAAGTGTGGGGGGATCTCCCACTTGGAAACTGCTGGATGAATTCAATCAGATTTGACAGAAAGGTAGAGGTCTCAAAGATAATTGCCTAAGAAAATGTTAAGTTCATGAAATCAAGATGCTAAGAGTGTCAGGACCAAGGAAAAGCCCTTATTAGACATTAGATGATCCACAGAAGGATGACACTATAAAATATTCCATTAGAACTTACGATCATCCCTGAGATTTTTTTTAAAAAAGGGTAAGAAGCCAAAAGCTTCTACCACTCAAGGAACTACTCTTTAAAAGTACTCCTTCCTGTTTCACCTGCAGGAGAAAAAAGGAAGTACACAATAATACTTGGTATAGTATTCACCATCGGGAGAAGAAACAAACAGGTGCCAAAAGGCCCCTTTTATACGCAGAAGTGCTGTATAAAGCTGGATATCTTTATTTTCCTTTGGAGAAATCAAAGCAAGAGAGGCTAAGTGACTGCAAGAAAAAACAGCAGTGGAAAAGCTGGATGGAAATAAAAGCCAAATAACTCAAATCACCTTCCACCCACTACTCCAGTCTGCCTTTCAGAACCAGCAGCATCCAGCATGTAACATAACACATCTCCTGGAACCCGATTAATACAGAACACACAGCATATAGTAATCGACAAGAAGACTTTTTTTTTTTAAGCTGTATCACTCTTTTGATTTGTTTTACACTAATCAACTTAATAGTTACTGTGTTAACAGACTATCTCGATATAAATAATGAGCAGCAATTCCTCATCTCTTTCAGTAAAACCACATTTTAGATAGCTATAAATATTACCCATCAACACTTTTAAAGCATAGTCATCATTTCATACTCAAAAATGGCCTCTGCATGCTTACTAAAAATTAATCTTCGCTACAATTTATGCAAAGAGAAACTTCAGTGTTCTACTGAACACCTTCTTTTGTGTTTATTACTAGCCTGACAGTACCAGAAGGGCAACTAATTTAAATCATCAAGTGATTTTCCTAAGTTCTACAATGAAAACATTTGAAATTTAATCATCTGGGATTCTAATAGCAAATGATCCAGGATGCTTGGATGCAACATAGCTGGACATACTTAAGCAAACTACCAAAGCTTTGCCAATTAAACACTTGAGATTCAAGAATAACGAGGTAGAATTTATTTAATCATTTTCAACACAATTCTCCAATAAAATATCAGAGGCTAGTTGCACAAATAAACTTGAAATAGTTCACTTTTCAGGAAGAACACCTTTCAACTTCAGACAATACCCAGCCTCTGTATGCCAAGAGAAAAAGGAATGCAGTCATATGGAATCAGTTAACAGTTACAGCCAATAAACAAATTGACTGCAGTGGAAGATCCACTTTTGACATTAATAAGCAGTGATTCATGCATAGTGCCATACAGCTTTCCTTACTTATAGATTCATCATCCATGTATTTAACAGAAAAAGTAAACTCATTACCATATGAAATGCTAGTTTAAAAGTACATTTCAGCTGTTGGAGATGTAAACAAAAGAAAGGTCTCAGTGTTGTTGAAAATGTGGGAATTTTACCTAAAATCCCTATTCTAGGAATCAAAGACGATACATGCCCACGTCGAATAAAACAGGTCTAAAGGCAGCACTTCACCCCATGCTATTAATACTTTCTATTTGTCCTTGTATCTGTTTTTTTTTCCCATTAAAAAAATAAGTTCTCTATTCTCAAGCCAAGGTACTTGTTTAAAACCGTGACTGATGGAAAGGATGGAAAAATCAAACCAGAGCATTTAATCTGATTAAATGCCACTGTGTCACAATTAGATGTCACTGTATGTTCACTTTAATTCTGGAAGCACATGCGGCACACGAAAGGAAGTCATGGCACTGTACTAAGCGCATGCAGTGCATATTACCTAGCATCGAAGCTAGCCCCTCAGCGCTCTGCACTTGCCAATTATTCTGCCCGCGAGTGAAGCGGGCGCAGGAAAAGGCATTCTGCCGCCTGGAGAAGTTGGAACCTACGCGCTTTCTCCCGCTCCCAGCCGGCCGCGATCTCCGAGCCCGCCTAACAATGGTAGCAGTGTTACAGCGGGCAGCTCTGCCCTTCGCCGCTCCGCATCCCCTCGCCTCCGAACGGCGGCCCCGCCGGCTGTGCCCTCCCGAGCCCCCGCCACCACAACGGCCCTTGGGAGCTCCTCACCTCAGACCGGCCAGGCGCGAGCCACTCGCACCTGGCCGCGGCTGACGTCACCCCCACCCGCTGACCCCGGCCCCGCACGGCCCCACCTTCCCCTCCGGGTACGGGCACACGGGGCTAGGACACCGGGAAGAGACCGAGAGGAGGGAGCCCGCCGCGCTCCAGAGCGAGTGCGGCCCCCTCCCCTCTGCGCCTCGCAACACGCCCCCTCCTGCCCCGGCTGGCGAGGGCGGCGAGGAGACGGGGGAAGGGGTTCCGGGGCCGCGGTGTGCATCCCTCCGTTCCTCCCGCCGCCGCCCCCCGCACGGGAATGGACAAAGGGGAGGGGGCCAGCACCTGGTGGGGGCTGGTGCCTTTGTGAGGCGGACACGTCCCGCAGCGCCGGGGAAGGGAAGCGGGGGCCGGTCCCTCCCGCCCGACGCGATGGCCGCGAGGGAAGGGCGCGGGGCACTTACTCGCCGGCCCGTCTCTGTCGCGCTGCCTCCCCTCGCCTCACACCTTCACGCCGCTCAGCCTCAGCCCCTCCCTTCGCCGCGCGCTGCCCCCGCTGCCGTTGGAACTTCAAACGGTGCCAGCCATTACGGCACAGCGCCCCGCGGCCGGCCGCCGGCTCCGCGGGGCTGAGGGATGGGGGGGGCCGCGGCGGCGCGGAGCTCCCCCGAAGGCTTCACAATAGACACAGGGCAGCGAGCGTGTGAGAGAGCGTGTGTGTGCGCGCGGGGGGAGGGGCCTCGCCCGGCGCGCCGAGCAGAGCCGAGGCGGGAGGAGGCAGGGCTGTTTACCCAGCGGACGGACCCGGCGCCCCCCCACCCGATTCTCGGACTGGTCCATGCGCCGCCGCCTCCCCCCGCCAACGTGAGGGAGGCGAGCCCACCCCACCCCGCGGGCGGCAGGTGGTACGGTCCAGCCGGCCGGCTCCCTCTCTCAAGCACGGGCAGGGCGGGGCCCGCCATTGTGACTTGCCCGAAGCCGGCAGCTGGCTGCCAATCAGCGGCAGGGGGCGGGGCTCAGTGAGCCCCGGGGCGGCCCGTGCCGAGCGGCGAGAGGTCGGGGGTGAATACTGGGGCCGCCGTGTTGCCGTGCTCCCGTTCTGCCTTCCTGCCGAAGAGATGGCGAGAACCTTTTGTGTGCGGGAGAAGGCGCCCGCCCTCTGTTGAATGTTTTTCTTTGCCGTTAACGCAAGGTGCAGGCGAGAGCGGGTAGAAACCCTGAGAGACCGTGACAGGTCGTCACGTGGGGGAGCTCGAGCTGGAAATCGGTGGGGCTCGAGAACCAGTCATCGGCAGGCGCGCGTTCCCTTGGAACGAGCAGCAGGAAGATTTCCCCCCGCTCCCCCCACTCCCGCTCTCATCTCCCCGCCAAGAGCGGCGCCATAAAACTCGTTTGCCTGGGCAGCAGGACAGCAGCGGCTGCGCTACGCTACTCGGACTGGCTGTCCCCACCTCACGTGGAGCCCGGGCCCGGCCTGCTGGCGCCGCGTTGCATGCTGGAGCTTGTAGTCCTGTCTGGAAGTCCTGAAAGGTTGAATACCGACAAGAGCAAAGGAAGATGGTCCTCCCCCTGTAACGCCTATATATCCAATAGAAATCCATAATTTATCCCACACATTGTGGGGAGTATGTTCCGTTCTAATGCGCTATCTCTTAATGGGCAGTCCCACCCTTCTCGTCCTGCGGGAGAAAGCGGGCGGTGAGTTCCGCGGAGCTGCCAGGACCAGCTCGTCCCGTCATCCTTCGCGCCAAGATGTCGGCGGCTATCGCCGCGCTCGCCTCTTACGGGGGCTCCGATTCGGAGCCCGACTCGGAGCCGGAGGCTGAAGGCAGCTCCCAGAGCGCCGCTGTGGTCGCTACCCGCGACGCCGTGCTGCACCTCCGTTCGCCGCCCGCCGCCCCAGGGGCCCTGGCCGTGGACGCAGCCCCGGAAGTAGCCGTGAAGGTAGGCGTCACTCAGCCGCCCGGGAAACCGGGGCCCCCGGTGCCTGCGCGCCGCTGTGGCCACTACTTTGGTTTCTGTCGCTGGGGTCAGACGGCCTTGGGGCAGCCCAGGCCGGGGAAGCGGGGCAGGCTGGTGCGGGCCCGGCGCGGGAACGTTGTCGCCGTCTGGCCTTGCCCTGATCCGCGGTGTGAGGCCGGAGCTGGGGGTTGAAGGCGTTTGCTGGGGAGCTCGGCCGGTGGATCCTATTGTGGCTGTTAAGCTTATGAAAGCGTATTATGACTATCTCAAAGGCGTGCCTTGTTTAGCGTTCCTCACATACTCTCGGCTTCAGTTCCCCTGAATTCAGGATGTTCTTCTGTGTGGTTTGCACCAGTGTTGCGGTGAAACCGATATTTGATAGGCTGAGTGCAGCAGAATCCTGCCCTAAAGAGTATCCTGGAAACTGATCAGTGTTTCTGATTTCATTTCCACTGTTGCTTGGGAAACCTTAATTTTCCAAGTTCAGTATCATATTAGTTCGCTTTCGTGATTTCAGATGTTGGTTTGGGTTTTTAATACAGGCAACTAGTTCCTAATTAAAAGCAGGTGGCTCACCATGATGGCTGTCACTGTAGTACTGTGTTGCTTCCAGTTCTGAAAAGTTTCCTACTTTGTGACAAAGAGGTGAATGGACTCTTTCTCTTTGTTAGTTAATTCACAGGGTGTCGCACCTGGTTGTATCTGTGTGTGTATGTTATATTGTATGTCCTGACTAGATGTGCATCTTTGAATCCCTTGGAATCTTAGAAATACTTAACTTATTGAATTGCAGCTTCTGGCAGACTGTCTTCCCACACAGGCTTTGAAAGGAATGCTAATTAACATCTGTAATGTCATTTGAGCGTGAACGATAAGTGGCAAGTAGTATTGGCTGTTCTCTTCACTGCTCTTGGGGCTGTAGGAACAGCTTTGCCATGACAGCACAAAGGCTTGTGTAGTTGCTTGGTGGCTGACATCAAGGAACTAGTCTGAATGTCTGAATTCAAGAAAAAAAAAAACAAACCAACAAACCTGGTGGAGTTATTAGCTCTCGGATCCATTCCTTGATCTCTCTTGCCGTGTAGCTGCACCGTTGCTGTGCGGGCACAGTTAAATTCCCAGTGCCAAAGGAGAAACAAGCAGCTGGAGGAAAGAGTTAGGTGCCAGTAGCATGTTCTGTTCAAAGCTGTTCTCCAGGCTATGCCCTGGAAGGGGTATCTACCAGTACAACTAGGACTGCCTCTGCAGAGGGCCTTCTGCTAACCAAGGTCAAAAGGAAGTGAGGTTTCTAAGTGCCAAGGTGTTTAATTAAAGGAACTGATTAACTACAGTTAACACAATGATAATAAACCCAGAATAAGTTTAAGTAATGTAAGTCTGATGATCTAGAGTTTCTTTGCCATTGGCTATGCAAAAACGGGCTAAGGTATGTTAGTGGTGGCTTTTGTGTAGTGTGAATTAGGCTAATTAAGAACATAAACTGTAAAAGTCAAATAGGTATTCATTATTTGGTCTTTAACACCAGTGCATTGTGAATGTTGATGTGAAAGTAGAGGCCAGCGTGTGTTTCAAGTCCTATAACATAACATTTTCCTTTTTTCACTCTAAACTTCTTATTTTAGGATTCTTTCTAAGTTACATTTTTTCTAGACATTGCCAAAACCAATTAGAATCAGTTTTGCTACAGCTTCTACTGATATGAAAAAAAAAAACAAACAAAAAACAAAACCCCAAGATTGCTCACAAAGTATTTATGTTCACTAATGAATTAAAAATGCTGAAGAAAATTGTGTATTCTGTAAAGAAATAACTTTCACAGGAAATGTTGCAGCTGTAAGCTTTGCCTTACAGGCAAAGAAGAGAACATTGCCATAGTTTAACCCCAGCCAGCTGCTAACCCCCAGTCAGTCACTTGCTTGCTCCTCCTGGTGGGATGGGGTATAAAATCAGAAAGGAAAAGAGAGAAAACAAATGGGTTGAGATAAAGGCAGTTTAATAGATAAAGCAAAAGCTGTGCACAAACAAAGCAAACTGAATTCATTCGCTCCTTCCCATGTGCAGTCAGGTACTCAGCCTTCTCCATGACAGCAGGGCTCCATCGTGAGTAGTGGTGACTTGAGAAGACAAATGCCATCACCATGGGCATCTACCCCCAGCTTTATACACTGAGCATAATGTCGTATGGTATGGAATATCCTCAGTTGGGGTCAGTTGTCTCAGGTGTGTCCCCTCACAACCTCTTGTGCACCTCCAGCCTGCTCACTGGTGGGGTGCTGTGAGAGGCAGAAAAGGCCTTGGCTCAGCAGTATTTAAAACATCCCTGTATCATCAACATTGTTACCAGCACAAATCTAAAACATAGACCCATACTGTTTACCATGAAGAAAATTAACTCTACCCCAACCAAAACCAGCACATTTACTGTTTGATCTCCATCAGTTCAGGGTGGCACTTGGATGGCAACAGATTTTACCATATTTATCTACAGTGTTGCATTCACTGGTTTTGAGAGGAGGATACTCATCTTGGTTAAAATCAGCTGGACTGGCCTGGCCCGGCCCAGTACAAGAGCTGGAGCACTTGGGTCGTCCTCAATGTGGGAGAGGGTTGGAAGTCTCGGGTCTATTTGTAGAATCTAGTTTACCTTTGGCAGTATGCAGGTGTCCAGAAACATATTACTTCAGTGGAAGAAAGAGACTTCAGTCGCATTTCTTGATGTTCTTTAAAACCTAATGCCTCCCCATCTATGGAGATACGAAGGATGCAAAGTCAGCGTGTGACCATTCTGTAGCAGTAATGAACATTAGTGACTTTTAGGTGTTGTTTGTTAGGAATGTTTTGGCTTCTTTTAATATCGTGGGGTTTTCTGCTTTCTTTGACACAATATTATCTTTGCAGAGAACAGATGTTTAGAAACTGGCATCCTGCAAGATGCTGGGAACGTAGACTAGTTCAACAAATCCATTTAATGTACCCTTTTCTTCCTGTTTTGTTTTTATTCTATTGAAGTTAGTGGGATGGACATTTACTGTTAAGAGGGGTTGAATAGGTATAATGAGTAAAAGCTGAAAACAATGAAATATTGGGACTTCATTGCAAATGCCATTCTTGGTAACAAATCTGAAAATCTTTAAAAAAGATAATACAGCATATTTCACAGTTCAAGTGGTTTATGCAAGAGTTGGTAAGTGACACATTGTGTCAGCCTCTGTGGCTCATAGGATGGGGTCTTAATTTACCATATTGTAATTTAATGGATTATTAAAACTAATTAGGTCTTACGCAAAGCAGCATGCCCTTTTTAGATACTTGGCTAATTAGTAATGAATTTACCTAGGGAGAAGGAAGCATTGTAGATTTATTATCTAAAATATCCAGAAAAAAACATATAGACATCATAACTCTTTGCTTGCATGATATGAAACTGGAAAACTGACCTTTGCTTTGTTCTAACAAACTTTGTGCTTACACAAACGCTTGAGATTTAAGTGTCAAATTCTGCTTCTAAATGCATGAATGGTTCTTATTAAACTTACAGGTAGCCACATAATAGCACAGTGGAGATTACAAAATTTGTCTGAAGTATTAAAATATTGTGGATTAAAAGGATTGTGAGTTGCCTCAATGTAAATAACATTATATTCTTTCTAAGGAGCAGGTAAGTGTTGCAGTCCATGCTGCAGATTCTTTTTTTTTTTTTAAAGAACTTTATTTAGCCTTTATTTAAGGTTTGGAAGGAAAGCTAATTTGATTTATTGGATTTATAGTCTAAAATCCCTTCTATATCCTGTGCTCTTTCCTATGCTGACTTTTAACTGGCCAAAGGGCCTTTATGGTAGGACTGAAGGAGCATGCTTTGGTAGGAGCTAAGCATTCTGTGATCTCTACGGAGTTATAACATCTACACTTAGTATCAAAAGCTTCTTTCTGTCCTTATGTAGATTCCTTAGGAAATGCTAATATCACAGAGTACCGCCCTGAGCATCATTCCCCTGTGACAGTGTGATGCTGTGCTGGAGGGTGAAAGACGCAAAAGGAGAGCATCTAAATATCAAATAATTTTTTGCCTAATCCAATCATATCTGAACTGTAAATCAACCCAATACTGCAACTAAGTAGACATCACACCTATTAAAAAAAAAAAAAACAAACCAAAAACCCAAAACAAACCAACATATCAAGTAGTACAGTGATAAGACAACATGCTGCCTTTTTGCCTTGCATCAAGAGTAATGCCTGTATCTGCTTAGGTAGACGCTCATTTAACTTTGCTACAGAACTTCAGTGGATCCGTAGACTGAGAAATTCAGTGTTTGGCTTTCCTTATTTCTGCTAATCGTATAATCTGAATCTTTTTTAGGGTAAATTAGGTTGTTTAGGTTTTCTGCACATGTCATTTTCTTAGACCTCCGATTCTTGATTTTCTCTTTTGGATCCTTTTCGGTAGTATGTGTCTTAGCTGATATGCGGTGCCCAATGTAGCCACTATATTTTAGTGGTGCTTGTTACCAGTGCTGAGAAAAGCAGAGAGGTGAAACATAGAGCAGAATTTTGCAGCTCTATTGTATTGTCTTCCAAGAAAGCCATGTTTGGTAAAACACAACTTCCTAAAACCATTATTTTTTTCTTTTTCAGGTTATATGGGATATACCACCATTGATGATAATATGGCATGCCATAAAGCCCATATTTATACAGTTTCCAAGTTGGAGCAAATACAAACTGCTTCATGGCCAGTCCTATGGCTCAATTTTCGTTTTTCCCTGGAGAAACCCTG